CTGAGGCAGAGCGCAAGCAGCTGTCAAGCCCACTGTACACTGTACATGCATCTGGGAGCTGTGGAAGAGGACAAACCATTCATGCAGTCGTGCTGTTGCTATTACTGCTACTGCCACGGCTACCAGTTCCTATTACTACTACTTCTACTACTACTACTACTACTACTACTACTACTACTACTACTGCTACTACTACTACTACTACTATGAGGAAATCTTCAGCCCAGTACTTGCACTTACACTGCTTGAAGGCATTCCATGTTGGAAGGGTCCTGCTGATTATGATTCTTGTCCGCGCGAACAGTGTTAACTTTATAACAGGGTTTAATTCGAACTGTGTTATTCCATTTCTTCCTTGCTGATGTGTCATCTTAGGCTCCTCTTAGGATCGCTCCACGTCCCCGGAACGTCATGATGGCTCAGAATGAGCCATCTACAAAACTCAATCTGAAACTAAGAGTGCTACTAACATCTACTGCCAGATCTGATCTCTGACCAGCTGGAACTTCGAAAGATTCTGCCGCCCACCTCGAAGCCGCTCCTTGCGCCGCGCCATCTGGACGTCCCTCGCGGCTATGGCTATGACAACATCTTAGTCTGCGAGTCGCGCGACTTGCCCGACTCACCCAAAACGGAGAAGATGCTGATGATTTTGATTACTGTAACCATGACGATAGCCGAACTGAGCGCCGTGATTACGATAGTGCCCCTGGGGAAAGCCTAGGGGTTTTGCGGGGCTCCGTCTACATATCCGAGGGCCTTGACCCTAAACTCTTTGAGGAAGCCCCATTATTACTCTGCTGGGATCCTTCTTGGATTAGGGTCGGAAGGCTCCACCATCCGAACTCCGTAGTCTCCCTGAATTGCAAAGTAGTGTGTATGTTCAAAAACATGATTGCGTGTTGTGTGTTCTAAATTCTGTACTGTGTAACAATATGACCTTTTATCATATACTGTATGGTATATACGACTGATATATCTGCAAGCCAGACAGTGCGCGGACCTGCGTGGCATTCGCCGCGCCAAGCGCGCAGAATGTGAGTCGTAGCGACGACTTGGCTCGAACACCACGCGACGACAGCTGCGGGTATTGGCCTTGCAGAAGTTATGCTGCTCTTCGTCTCCGTTTGATTCTGCTTCCGGTCATATCTTCTACGTAGGACTCTTTGTGCGGTAGTTCAGGGTTTAGGGTTGAGGGATGGATTCATGTACGTATATACGTATATATGTTTATATACTACTCCATGTCTATGATTATGCTACTTTGAAAACTATCCCTTCGGGGTTCCTGAGCACCTGCATCCTGGATCTTACGCCTCGAGAGCCTGACCAGAATCGGGTTTGGGATTCAGGGCTCCAGGTCCGTACAAACCACAAGCGTCTGCTGACCCTTGTTGTTCCTGACTATGGGTTCTGTTGGGGCAACTGTGATGACGACAATAGTGGCGGAGATGATGACGTTTCTGATAAGGAAGATGGTGATGATGGAACTGAAGGTGAAGGTCATGATGGTCATGGCGATCAGACCGATACTGGAGCTTGAAACTGTTGCTGGCTTCTTTGACTTGGGCACATTCCACATCAGCAGCAGTAGCAATCAGTAGCAGCACGAGTAGTAGTATGGTTATTGTGGTGGATGGAAGTGACGGTGATGCTTGAGCTGATGGCGATGGTTGTGGCGGCGAAGGTCTGATGACGATGACGATGACGATGACGATGACGATGATGACGATGATGACGATGATGACGATGATGACGATGATGATGATGATGATTCACCCTGTCCCTCCTGGTCATTATCATCAGCATCGCCATCGCCACCAACATCAGTGTCATGAGCCATGGATTGTTTCGAACTACGGTCAAGCATAGCCTCATCCCCAAAGTCTCGTGGATAACTCAGCTCGTGATCAACGGGCTGAGGCAGGGCATCGCAATCACATTCACAGGGAGCCCTGCCTTCGCAGTCTCCCACTTGCGGTTCCTTGGATCTCATCGTGGATTCGCTTTGCCGATGCGTGGGCTTGTTTACTGTCCAAATTAGCATTATGATTCATATTGTGCTTAGTATGATGACTCGTAGGATTAACTAGCATTGCTATTACTATGATTACTACTTCCATTCTTGGTAGTATGATAAATTGATAGTATTTTATGACAATTATGATCATAACATATTGATTTTTCTTGGATTGGATCAGGCCAGGGCTCTGCATCTTCCTCTGGCTGTAATCGGCAGGTGACAAAATAGCATCGCCACGTTCCAGAAATTCCCAATCAACGTAGTCATAATCGCGCCAACAAACATCGTCATAATCGTCACAATGGTAGCAGAACCGTCTGTGGTTGCTGCTGGGGTAGAATATGTTCTTCTCATTCTGGCTGAGACGAGAAGACAGCACACGTGATCGTGCATGGGCGAAGGATTCCTGGATATCTGGTACATTGGAGATCAAAGTGTCAAAGGTCAGGAAGGCACCGGGCCAGCCAGCCCAGAGCTGCTTCCCGAAGCTCTGCACCGAGGCCTTGCTCAGGCCACTCATTTCGAAGACCTCCTCCTGGCTAAGTTTCACGAACTTGCCTCCGAGGAGCGCGAGCTGTGTCGCCACCTGTGAAAGACAGAGCCGGGCCTTCGCCAGGGCCGAGGGGAGCTTGCCAGAGGAGCGGGCACGCTCGATGCGGCTGTTCCGGAGGCGGCAACACAGCTTGGCGAGGTCCACGTCCTCCTGACGCGCCTGCGAGCCGAAAAGATCGCAAGCTGCAAGGAAGCCGAGGGCACAGTCAAGCGCATCCTCTCCTGTGGGCGATGCTCTGAATCGGTTCGCTCCACGCTGTAGAAGAAGTTCTGACAGTCCGACCAATCCACGGCAGCAGGCAGTCTGAAGGGGCGTGAAGCCATCTGAGGACTCGCCATTCACGTCCGACCCTCCGTCCAGGAGCAGACACCCAATCTCTTTGGCCTCGCTCCGAGGAAGGCTACGCGCAGCCAGCTCTAGCAAGTTGTCCCCGTTGTAGAAGAAGTCTACTTCCCCTAGCAAGATGTGCTCTTTCACAGCACGGTTCATCAAGGAACTACGGTACAGCACGTCTCGTGTGATCCTGTTCCGAAGCAGGACCCACAGCCCGGAACTGCGAGACTCCACCTCTGAGGGGAGCGGCACCTCATATGTGCGGTCTCACTGCAAGCAAGCTGTAGTGTCTACAAACCTGACAATGCTGAAACAACTCAATGCGGGGAAATAGGAATGGTTGTGTTTCGCAAGCAGCTGAATCTCTCCACACCTGTGAAAGGCCTAGGCGCTGTCACCGTCAGGACTTCCAACTCGTGACCCTCTGCGGGCGCTATCTCCTCGAGGCGTCCTGCGCTGATCGGAAAGGGGACTGGAGACCATGGATACGGCACGAGTTTTCGATGGCCTGCACTGCTCGGGAGTTATTCGACCTCCAGCAAAGCAGGAAGCTAAGAACACATCTGCACAGTTTGGGAGCTCCGCAGCTCAAGCTGTCGTTCGCCGCGTCCTCTCTTGTCCATGATCTCGCCGTCGAGCAGCAGACGCAGCTGCCACGTCGACACCCCCAGATTCCGGCTCACCTCGGAGGGTCTACGAATGGTCTTGGGGACTGGACGACATAGTGATTTGATCAAAACTTGAGGTTTGAATTGAATGTCCGGCACGCATTGAAAGCTCCATGCGGGTTCTAGCACTTGCTCTTGATCAAGCAACACATCGCAACAGTTTCCGTAAAATCACCTGCGACAACCGACAAATTTAAAAAGATGTCATCAAAGTGCAATCCGGCCATGAGCCACTTGTACACTACAGCTGCAGATGAACAAGGACCCCATAGACCGACATCCTCTGCAGTTCTGGCTGCTTGATGGCGTAAGTAGAGCAGGCTGTCGTCACTGTGCAGTGAGAGCTTTACCGTCTTTCCAGACATAGTGCTCGCCGAAACCTGGAGCAAGCTTGTCAAGCCCAAGCATGCCCCTTTTGAACCATGTGTGTAACATGCGGAGGGACACAGAGCCAGAGAGGGAGAGATTGTGGGGGGGAGAGTCAGTCACAGGACTTTGAGTGTGAGTGTGTGCGGGCCCACTGCGACCATGCGCTGGCTTGAAGTCACTTCTTCCGGCGATGCGTCTGTTACTTACAACGAACCACATGGATGACGATGGCTCCATTCTTCTTCTTTTTTACTCGTCGCAATGGTATATGACACTTCGCAGCCTGTGGCCAACACCAGGTTGCTAGCTCACCCTTACCTATGCCATCAGTAGCTAGTTGGTACCCCTGGGTCGAAGCTGTAGGCTGCAACTCTCGAAACCCCAAGCCCAGTACCCTTAGCCGTAAACCCTAGGCCCTAAACCCTAAGCTCTACAAGAAACCCTAAGTCCTATAAGACACCCTAAACCTTCACTAGAAGCCCTGTAAACCCTAAACTGCAACTGTCTACCGATAGATGCAGGAAGGTCACTTGGAGCTGACGAGTCTCCATGGCGCAAGTCGACCAGAAGCCGGCGATCGGGGGCAGATGAAGGGCGCTGGCTAACTTGACAAGGAGCCACGGGCAAAGGCAGTCCAAGTCCGCCGAATGTGTCCGGCTGCATACAACTTCGACTAGTCGTGGAACCTCCTTAATAGAGCCTTTGACGGCTCTTTGTTCCAGATGCCCTCTGGCCCTGACGCACAGATTTCAAGGCAACGCCGAGCTCTAAACTCCCCGTGCTTTGGATGCCTTTCAGTGCCGCCTGCAACCAATGCAGTTGGGTTTGGACGGCACCGAACCCGTAAACTTCCCATGGCCCTGGTCAGCATCCCTAGCAACAACAATCCAGTCCTACCTATAAGTAGCTTATACATCAACAAACCAATAGTCTGAAGGTAGAAGTACTTGTACGACGATCAAACATAATCAGACAAAAGAAAAGCGCAGACACAAAAACCTAGCTTCCGCCACATCAATGACTAATTGCAAGGACATCCTTACATTTTCACTGATGATATCAGCAACAATTTTAACAAAGACCGAGGGGAGCAAGAGGACCAAAAGATATATCAGGAATAAGCGTCGTCGCAGTTGGAATAGCCAAGCTTTGCAATTTTAACAATTTTGGCACTGAGGGCTGAGGCAGCTCTAACTTCGACATCTTCGAGCCACCTTGGAGGCCACTGGCACAGGAATAGGGACCAAGCCAAGGTCAAGATTTGGGCAGCGAACAAGGTTTCATTTCTGTCTAGCAGGTGCTCTGAGTTGATGTCTTTGATCTCCTCCGTTGGAGCTAACCGTTTGCATTCCGTGCGTGCGTTGAGCGAGTCTTTGCTCAGTCTAACTCTCGGTTCACTCTTCAGACCAAACATGCAGACAGATCGTCTAAAGTGCCCCCGGGTTCAGTCCATGCGCATGACAAACACTCTCAATTTTGTTTTTCTTTACAGGACGGTGGACACCCCACCTGCTGCTCTCACGGAATAAAATACTATCACGTTCCATGAAAGTAAACTTAATCCTTTTCCGAGCAATCCTGACAAAAAACAAAAATGTAAGAAATTGTTCATGTACATTTTTTCTACTGCGAAGGGCGAACCCATCAGCACCGGCTCTGTTCCAGAAACTATTTGTAAAAGGGACGGCCAACTAAGAATGCGAGATAGGACAAGAAGGACTAATTTCAATCCCAACAACAAGGTAAAACACAACCAAAGCAAGTGGCCTGCTCCTTTGTGAAGACTGAGGCATCCCATCGTTGTGTCTCGAGACAGCTATCCGACATTTTGTTTTGTAGGTCAAGGAATATAGCGAAATGATTTTTTGAGAGGCCTGTGTACCACCCTATTCCATTGGGTTCTATCCTGCGAGGAAGGCAAAACCCTTCGTAGTAGGGTCGTGTTATCAAGATTCACGATACCGGTGGAGGAATGCCTAGTCCGAACATCTGAGAGAGTTGGTATTTTGAAAAAGGAGTGAGACAGGTCCGTGTGGGAAGGTGCAGCATCAGAAAGAAGGTGAGTGATCCTATCAAATGCTTCTGCTAGGCAAGAAGCGCTCCAATGAAGGCGGGGTCGACCCCTGCGATGGGGGCCAGAGGCACGGCGATAGGAGTGAGCACTTTGAAAAGTACTAATATACTCAAAAGAGAGTGTGGGTGTCGCAAAATACGATCCAAGAGTTGCAGTCTCTGTTGGGAGTACAGTTGAGACGGAGGCTGTACCCTAAGCGTGGAAAAGGCAAGGTCATGTAAATATTGGTTGGAGCATTGGGCATCAGTGGGATTAAGGACTCGGTGGTAGTAGGAGGATTTCGTCTTAAAAATTCTGCGAAGCTGCTTGTAGTGAATTGAATCCATATGAATCAACTGAGAAGGAGTAAACTGAATGCTCTCAGAGGAGTAAAGAAGTATCGCCTGGACTATGGCACGATATACCTGAAGCTTCCAAGAAGGAGGAAGAGAAGAATGGGACATGAGAGGTTTGAGTTGCTTTGCTGCCGAGACCGCCTGCGAAATACGATAGCGTAAGTGTTTTGCATTACTGGAAGTATCATCCAAGTAGACCCCTAAATACTTGATCTCCGAGGCCTCAGAGACCAGAGGTCCCGTGGGGCACATGCCACCACAGCAGCTACAAGGACAAGGAGAGTCGATAAAGGGCGAATAGTAGATTCCTTGAGTGGAGTGCAATTTCAAATGTTCACATTTTTCTTGGTTGAGGTAAAGACCACGCGACGCACCGTGGAATTGGACCAAGGCGGTTTAAAACCGAAGCGGAGGTGGAAAGGAGAGCTGTGTCATCTGCATACTCTAAGTCCCAAAGGAGAGTGGGTACGTGAAAGACACCTGCAATTTGGCCAAAAGTCTGCTGGTAAGAAGTTTTTACGTCGTGAAAGAGGTGAGTTAACACAAAATTAAAGAGGTATGGGGAAAGTGGGCAGCCTTGACGGAGGCCCTTCGTTTGAGTTTTTACCAAAGAGCGCTTTGAAGAATCCCTAACAACAAATGTAGGATTATTGTATAAAGAAAATATAACTGAGATGAGATGGTCGGAAACACCCATAAATTGGAGGGCAGAACGAATCGCAGTAAAAGTGACGGAGTCAAACGCCTTGGACCAATCGAGAAATAACGCATGAAAGGAAGTAGAATGGCGCTCGAAGACCTCTATTAGGCGGCGAAGGATATGAACTGGCTGCGATGTAGAACAATGTTGCCGAAATCCGAACTGGGTGGAGCGCAACCGTTCATCGAGGTGCAGGGCGAGCCGAGACTGCAACATGGAGGCGAAGATTTTATAGGAAACGTTGGGAAGAGAGATAGGCCGATAATTGGAGAGTAAACGGGTATCCTTCTGATGATTTTTTACGAGCATGACAACCTCGGAGAAAAGCCAGCTTTGAGGGACCGAGTGAGTGTCAAGACATTGGTTGTAGTGGTCTAAAAGGTAAAGTTTGACCACAAAAGGAGCGTGCTTATAGATTTCACCCGGGATAGAATTAGGACCGGGAGAGCGACCTGGTTTAATTTTGCGGAGAGCGTGATTGGGATCGGTCATTGTCATTGTAAAGGGACGGTCTATATCCGGTACCAGAGGATGAGGGTCTGAGACAAGAACGGGACGATCAGAGGGGGAAAACAGACCGAAGAATGTAGATAGTCCGCAAATGTAGAAGCGCGTTTGTCTTTGGAAACCAGCGTATTGGATTGATTCAAGAGACCAGTGGCGCGGGGCTTAAATTCAGAGCGGATGTGGCGGGTATGTCTCCATTGCGAGGAGGAGCTACCATGAAAGTCGTCGTAAAGATGCTGAGCAATAACGGCTTTCTTATCCTTGCGGGCGCTCTTCTTTATAGACTTGCGGGCTTGTTTTAAAGAGAGGAGATCAGCAAAAGAGGTGGACTGAAATTTGGCAACAAGATCGAGAGTATGCGCGGAGATCCAGGGCTTTTTAGCAGAGAGAGGGGCTTCTGGGACAAGATGGAGGTTGTTGGCGAGAATGGAAGTGAGTTTAACATCTTGTTCTTCTACTGTGAGTCGGGACCAAAGGTCAGAATTAAATCCAAGGGACGGAGGGGAGAGACTGGAGGCGGGGCAGGTGGAGAGAAGCGACCTAAGGAGGAGCGTTGGAAGACGCCCTTTTTGGCCTGTGCGTCGGCAATTTCATTTCCAGGGATACCTTGAGGAGATGGAACGATACGGAGATCCACTGAAAGAAAGGAGCGAAGAGCAACGAAGTACTGCTGTAAAAGGGATGCCAGTATACACGATAACGGCATGAGATTGGGGAAGGTCAGAATAGTAGAGGAAATAATCAAAAAGTTCAATTAAGCCTTTAAGTTCACCAGTATTGTTAGAACCGATTAAGGGCCCTTCGGATGACTGTGGGTTAGTACGGACAGAACCAAAAGAGACGGTCCAAGGAGAGGACCAAGCAGGATGTGTATCATGAGGGGAGAATGTGAGGGCAAAACCCCAGCCTGCAGGGTTTGTGGAGGAGACACAACGGTTATTCGGGCCAGGAGCCATCAGTATAAGCTATAAACAAAGCCAGAAGCCGAGGACGAAAAAGGGTTGAGATGATTGTCTGTGATCTCAAGAACCTTTGTCTCCACATGAAGATAGTAATCTGCCAAAACCGCGAAATCCTTACGAGGCGGTGGAGGGTCCGCACGGGGAGGAAGTCTTTGCGTAGTAAGGCCGAAAACAAGCGGAAGGTGCCTGGAATTAATAATTTGTTGGAAGATATTACCTTTAAAGGTGACAAGAGGAGACAACTTGGGAGGAATAAGAATTTAGTCTAAACAAGTCCATTGGTTAACGTCTTCTGAATGGAGCAGATGATCGGTGCAAGACATCTCTTTGTAGGTAACTCTACGGCGAAAGGGGAGCTTCGAAAAGGTCTGAAGAAGAGATAGGTCAAGGGAGTCGAGGAGGTTAAGCAAGGAAACTG